TGGATATGGAGATATTACGACTTGCAGCGTCAATGGTGTTGGGAAAAATGTTACGATATTAAGATTACCGCTGCCAAAGAAAGAGGAAATTGACAAGCCTGATCTCGTATGTGGCCTTATACCCGCATTTTCCATCAACAATGAAAATCGGTACTTGCTCTCGAAATCATCTAATAGAATCAATTTATGGAAAAACTATTTTAGCAAAGTATATAAAAATTTAAGTATAGGTACAAATCTGAAAATACTTTTGTTGACTATCAAAGTAGTTATGTAAGGAACTAAAGTATGTACTTAAGCTGCAAAAAATTTTGATATTCTATCAACAGTTTAAACATCTTGTATAAAAAAAAAATTATTTTGAGTCTAAAATTCATCATTTTTTAGATCTGTAACTATTGTTAAATTTTTAAATCAATAAAACCGTTCTTTCCTTGTTTGTATTGTCAAATGCGTTAAAAAAAAATGAAAGAGATTATATTATGATATGATAATACTAATCGAATTAAAGACTAACTCTAAGCTATTGAATTTTTTCAGGACGCATACGTTGATTTGGGGTATTATTGTGATACAGTATAATCCGATAATTCAGCGTTTGGGAGATCAGTCGGTGAGAGTTGGATGCACCTTAGATGAAAGCGGTCTTCCGGAACCGAGGAACGTGACCGTTCATTCGAATTTCTCTTTCGAGGACCCAAAGTAAGTTTAGCTTTTTTAATTCTTACAGAATAGCGTTCACAATTATTTGAAATGAATAACATATTCACTTAAACTGCCACCTGATGCAAAACCGTCCCGATTCTGTGACAAGTGTCCCCGATATTCCGGCTCTGGTTATTCTTTTGTAGCGCAGGCGTACCGCCGGTTGGCTCAATTGTAGTGAACGTTTCGTCCGAAGTGCCAGTGGTGACGATGAGGATTCTCAACGAAAGCAATATGGATGCTGTCGTTACCCAATTGGGACAGAAGCTAACTCTCAGAATTGAAATTCATCCCGTAAATGGTGAATAGCCTTGTACATTTACATAGAATATCCCCAGCTTATAGTTTCTCTTTTACTAAATTTTTACTTCATACTAGAACTTCTCTTAATAAAAGTGTTATAAGCATGAATAATTCTTTAATTAAGAAATATTAAAAATTAACTTGTCGTAAATTCAATTTCAGCTGCATTATAAATATATTTTATTTTGAAAAAAATTATATTATAATTCTTTGGTTTGACAGGAACTTACGACATCGCAGCTGGACACCTCGTAGCTAGTAGCGCATCTGGAGAATCCTCGTACCTTCTTCTTGACGAAATTGGATGTCCAACAGATCCGGCGACCTTTCCTGCGCTATTAAAGGATCCAATTGATAACCGATCTTTGATCTCAACATTTACTGCCTTTAAATTTCCCGACAGTCAAATCGTTCGATTTAACGTCATCGTTCGATTTTGTATCGAGGAATGTGAGCCGGTAAACAGACTACATATTCTTTTTAAGTTCTTTAAGCCATTATTATACTTTGGAATATAATATTAAAATATAGTAAAATTCTTTTTACAAAAAAGAATATTAATAACATTTCTTTAACGAATTAAAATAATTTAGTATCTTTGTATAAATTAGTTAGATTAATTAAAAAATGAGAAAATTTGAAATTTATGATTTCTTCGAAGGCCATATGCAGAGGAGGACAGCCATCATATGGCAGGAAGCGACGGTCGATCGAGGAGCCAGTCACTGCCGAGGTAACTGAAATTTTCAGAAACCTCACGCCCGTGGAATTACCATTAGAACTATCTATCGTCGTTCAAAGTCCAGTGATAACGGCAGACCATTTATCCAGGGAAAATCCTGATACGCTTTTGATCACCGGTGGAAGTGAGTTTAATATCGGTATCGCTACCTCCAAGCGTCGGAAACTTCGATTTTAGAAATTCGATTTTTGCATCTTTAAATTCTAGATAGTAAAGTTATATGACAGAGTTAACGAAGTTACACAAGTTTTTTTTCCAGAATCTGACAGTCTCTTTTGCGTGGACGCGAGTCTAGCTCTGGGTCTTTTGATCTTTTGGTTAATAATTCAAATTGCACTCACCGCTGGTTGCATTATAGCCGTTCGTCGCTATAGAAAAATGGCTGTAGAAGCCGAAGAAGACAGAGCTCAGATATTGGCGAGACATCTTTATGGGATTCACGGAGGAAACTTTGAAATTGCACGAAGGGTCAGGTGGGCCGATCGAAACGATTCCTCAATCGGATGATAGATTTATTTTCCGGATTTTTTAAATGCAAGGGCAATTTAAATATTATTGATATAAAAAGTTTTAAATAAAGTTGAAAGAATGAAAAATATTATTACACTTATAATAAAGTTTTTAAATCGTAAAATTTTTAAGTAATCACTAGTCATATTTTAGGACTTTAATTATATACTTTATTATTTGTGATGTGGATTTATTTATTTTATGTGATGTGGATTTATTTTTTTGAAGAATAAGAAATGGTTTTCTCTCTCTCTCTCTCAATTTGATTTTTTAAGAAATATGAGTTATTAATTTTATTTGAAACAAAAATTAAATTTTTAAAAAAGAAATAAATTATTTTCACCAATTTAATATATATTTTTTTGTACAATTAAATTTTAACAATTTAAATATCTCATAAAAGCCCATTATAATTTCATGTTGATAATGTTAATTTTAAAATTATTTAACGTAAAATGATTATATGTAAAAATAAAGTCAGTAAGCTTTTATTTTTGCTTATAAAACAATTAAATACGTTTGTTACATATATATATTACGCATACATTACGGTGTGTATATACGTAAGCGATTCAGATATGAACAAAACAATTTTTTGTGTTGAATACAAATCAATGTTAGTGGATGTATTTACACTGAGTGACAAGTAAGGGCGTCTACTCACGTTCGACATAGTTGTAGCCTCGTGGAATTGTTTTTGCAGTTATTGTTGCGATGTTGGAACACTTCGAACAAATGAGCAGATACCTCCACCTGTCACTCAGTATAAAAACCAATGTCGCGATTTGTATTCACACAAAAAAATCTTTTCATATTTGAATCACCTTCGTATGTTTATTTTTCTTAAGTTTGCCAATCTTACACTAAAACATTTATTATCATAAACTGTATTATAATGAAAATTTTGTAAGTTATCCAGTTTCGTCTGTTGTACACTTTCCACGATCTTTCGGTTTTTCTGTAAATATAAAATATTATATATTGAGTATATATTTTACTGCGTTCGCAATCGCACTGCCTTGTACTATAACTATATGTAAGAATTTTTTATTATTTTGTATATTTTATAGAACAAAGATTGTTAAATATATACATATGTCCGGCAAATATATTTGCTGTTGCAAAATCTGTTAATACTAGAACGACTGACGACATTTAGAAGAATGATTTTCTTTTTATGTTACGTGTGGTATGGAATGTATATATAAAAAAAAAGAAAAAACTCTTATCTAATTTTATCTTTTTTTCTCATAATTTATGTATTAATATCAATTTTCTTCTTATAATTAATATAACTTCAAAGATTTAAGCAATAGTAATAATAATAATAAAGGCAGTTAAAAAAATTGATAGAAACTACGTGACTTATTGAAAAATATTAAAACAACTAACTTGATCATTCTAGCGTTAAAACGAAAAATTTGTCTTCGAGACATTGTCACTCTGATAGAAAGCTTGTTTTATATTGTTACCACGCATATATTCTTTATATAGCAAAATAAATATAATTGTTAAATAAAAAAATCTTTTTATGAAGTGTTTCACCTATTTCACATCGTTGCTCGTAATGCAATTTTCCTCGATTGCTATAAATAACGTTGTTCGTATCACAAATGGGATCGAATTTCAATGTCGTCTATGACAATTAAGAATGCTATTATAAGTTCAACTTTAAATTTATTTTTTAGAAGTAAATAAAAAGTCTATTCAACAAATAAACAACCCGTAATATATGACGAGTTACTTTTCAAAAGTAACTCTCCGAACCTTAGCGTATAGTTAATTATTTTTAGTGTCATAAAAAAGACTGCGTCACTATTAAATCGTTTTCATAAAAAATAATGACAAAAGTAACGATCTTACTTACTTCTCATCCTATTTATTTTATTCAAATTCTTTTTATTTACAATTGTATACGCGTAATAATAATATCGTACGGCAACTTTCGTCAATCAACGATTCCATCCATCGGCAGACATTGTCGAGAGGAACAAGACCGTAAGTTTACAGACTATCGACGTATCGAGATGAGTGATTTATAGGATTATTGTCATAACATAACTAAGTAAATAAATCGATCTGCCTTTCTACAAATTACAAGATCTAATTGCATTTAACTTGCATGTGTCTGTATAATGAAGGTCAGTTGCGTGGAATTTTAAAACGTATTATTGGCAATACTCAGGCATGCTGTAACGAGACCTGAAGTCGTAAAGCAGGTATTAAATAATATTCTTTATATTTTCGGCTGTTTTTATGAGTGATTCGATTCATTCAATTGGTGTTATTTTGTGCGAAAAGAGATGTGACAACAATGTCGATGGTTTCATATATCGTTTGCGTAAATTGTCGATTATTTAGAGAAATCGCTCTATCTTCCGACAGTACAATCAGTCTTGGAATAGTTGGAATCACTTCGTTATAATTACCAGACCTGTGATCTATAAGGAGCAAGAATCTTGTCTATAGACGATATATATATTTATAATGCGGATAATTTTACATATTTTATATGAGATATACTTAGATATATTCTATCTATATTAACAATAATAACATTTAAATATCATAACATAAAGCACATTTACATAATTTTTTTGATATTCATAACGTTAATTCTAAAATCGTTCACAATATAAAGAGATCAAAATGAAAAAAATCATTAAACTGTTATTTTCTGTTATAAAGCAAATAAAAATATTTAATACATATAATATTATATATACATTACGGTGTGTAAATATGTTTATTTTTCTTACATTTGCTAATTTTGATTAAAATATTTATTATAATAAATTGTATTACAACGAAAACTATAAGTTATTCAGTTGCAGTTTGTACAATTTCCAGAACATTTTACCGTTACATCTGTAAACAAAAAGTATATTGTATGTTGATTATTTTAGTCACATTGTTTGTAATCGCATTGTCTTACGCACTGATTATATTAAATACTAAACTTAGTTTTAACGGCTCATATTTAAATGACGCTAGTTGTAGGTGTAATCTATTTTGACATCTGAAGTTGGCTGCATTTTAGAGATTAGACATTTGTCAATAAAATTCAGTGCGAAAAGATTTATTTAAGCGAACAGTGCCATTTTTTTTTTGTTATTAAACATGGAACGTGATAAGTTATTTTTTTATGCTGCTTCATTACTTTGATTTGAAAAAAATTGCAGCTGCAGCTCATAAATTGCTTGTCGAAGCTTATGGCAATTGTGTTCCATCAAAAAGAACATGCTAAAAATGGTTTCAACGATTTAAGAGTGGTGATTATGATGCGAATGATAAACAACGCTCAGGTCAATCGAAAAAGTTTGAAGACACCGAATTGTAAGCATTATTGGATAAAAATTCAGCTTAAAAGCTCCAAGAATTGTCTGTAGCATTAAATGTTACTCCGATGGCTGTTTCCAAACGTCTACATGCAATGGGAAAAATTCAAAAGGAAGGAAAATAGGTGCCACACGAATTAACCGAAAATGCCATTGCGAATCGCTTAAACATCTCTATTTCTTTGCTTGCCAGACAGAAAAAAAAGAGTTTTTGTGGCGCATGGTGACTGGCGATAAAAAGTGGATCTATTTTAATAATCCCAAACGCAAAAAGTCATGGGTGGATCCTGGCCAACCATCAACATCTACACCAAAGCGAAATATCCATGGTCACAAAGCAATGCTCTGCATTTGATGGGATATGCAAGGCGTCGTTTACTATGAACTACTCAAACCGAACGAAAGAGGGGGATCGATATTCAATTACAATGGAACTGTCTGAATGAAGCATCATTGGAAAAAAGGCCAGCAGTAGCCAGCAATCGACGCAAACTTATGCTTTTGCACGACACGTTGCAAAAGCCGTCAAGGAAACACTGATGCAGCTCGAGTGGGAAGTTCTCCCGCACTCAGCGTATTCACCAGACTTAACTCCTTCAGACTATTACTTGTTCCGATCGTAGCACGGCTTGGTGGATACACTTCAGAAATTACGAGGGTGTGTGAAAATGAATCAATGAATGGATTGCTTCAAAAGACCAATCGTTCTATCGTCGCGGAATCCATTTATTGCCACAAAGATGGGAAAAATGTATAGCTAGCGAGGGCAAATACTTTGATTGATGCATTTTTTGCTTTTGATATCGAGATAAATGAGTTTTTTAAGCAAAAAAAAACCGTCAAAACTAAGTTTAGTAGTTAATATATAAAATTTTTCATTATTTTATACATTTTTCAATGCAAATATTGGATAAATTAATATTTGCTATTGTATTATTCATTAATGTTGGACTCGAGAATATTTAGAAGAGTGGTTTTCTATTGATCTTGCATGTAAAAAAGAAAATTCTTTTTGCAATTTTAATTTGCATTGTAGTAACTATTAATTTAATTGTCAAAAATATAATTAATTTAACTTCAAAGATTTGAACAATAATAATAATAAAGACGGATTAAAAGAATTGACAAAAAGAATCTCTTTGTCTTGTTGGAAAACATTAAAACGACCAGTTTTTGTTTTAGTGACAAACCAAAAAAGTCTTTGAGATCATTGTTACACTAAAGCTTGTTTATGTTACTGCCATGCATGTGCCTTTCATGTAAATAATAAATAACTTAAAAATAATGAAATTTTAATGAAGTATCTTACTTTTTCCACAACATTGCGCGCATTTTAGTTGTGATCGATTCATGTAAGTAATATTGTCTGTACCACAAACAGGATCGTAAACCAATATTATCTGTCAAAGGAATGATGTTATAGGTTTAACATTAAAGTTATTTTTCAAAAAAAGATGTAAAAGATTTTTAATAAAAAATTATGGTTATACAAAGCATTTCAGCATGCATTTATCGAATGAAACATTAGAGTTGCAGGTTGGAGGGGGTGAATCATCCCTTTTCTCTCTATTAGATTGTTTGTAAGCCATTGGACTGTTACTATCCAATTGAATTATTTCCACTGCGTTATCCAAATTCTATAATGTTTATCGAATTAAACTTCCAAATATTAGATTCCCGATTTTTTTTTGGAAAATATTACTTTCAAAAATACAAAATTATACGAAACGCTTTACACGATATTGATTTCAGAATACTAAAATCAATATTAAAATATGAACAGAGTGTGTATGCAAATTTTTCATTATAATATTTTTATTCATACAGAACATATAAAATAAGAATATCATTGTTATGTATTAATTATTAAGAATTCAAACGATCTACAAATATTATGATATATCTGCATCATAGTTCATTGCGCTTAGCATAGAATATGATTATATTTTTTGACATTACAATATATTCAAATGTCTTGAATAGTTTAAATATTTATCCATTTATCTCCTACAAGAGATCGCATGAAAGAATATTTACTTACTTGTTGAATCGCGTTGATAAGAAACGGCGATGCAGCAACTAATAAGAATTATACAATACAATGTAGATATTATAATTAATTAATTAATGCATAAACAATTTACATTATGCATGAAATATTTGAAATAATATTTTGTATTTTCTTACTCAACAAGTAAAATAACATTTTGTTAAAGTTTGCCTGATCAAAGACCGCTAATTATCGTGCGCGATAATTATATACTATTTTATACGTCTCTAAGGTAATCTATTAACAGAAATTCGATGATCTACTGTTGGCAGTATTCAGTTGCGCTTCTTTTTATGGATCTAGTTGCTAATTGATGAGTATCTCCGTAATGTATGTAAGTGTATGATAAATAAAAAAAAGTGCTCAATAAAGTGCTTTTTGCATGCTAATTTTCAAACTTATTAATAATGGAAGACCTTGAAGTATTAAAAGAAATAATATGTATATAGAATAACAACAATATTAAAAAATTTTAAAAACATTTACGCGATGTTGATAACTAACGGCTTTTTAACAGATAAAACTTTTTAATAGATAAACTTTAATAAAATGTTATTTTAGTTATTGCTGAATAAAAAAATTATTTCAAATATTCGTGTTTCGTGATGCGAAATACTTGTTTATGTATCAATTCTCCAAGTAGCTCGTCGCTCTCAGTGCGATTGACTCGCGATCTGTGAATCCGGATTCGATCCCACCTGTGTCCCGCATATGCGATTTTTTGCGTTCGCCATCCGGAATCGGCTTTAAACTGCAGGTCTTCTCGAGTGTTGACAAACTCTAAAGAACTGTAAGAGTGCAATTAACAAGTCAAATTAAAAAAATTATCAATAAAAAAACTTAAAGAAATTTGCCAATGAGAACCTGCACTATACAAATATAATATATATTATTATAATGACTTTCTTAGTAGTTTGAATATCCGATGAGATACGACAAACGAAAATTACAGCTTAACGATGTATTTCACACTTCTGACAACATTTATAAAATGCATTTAATGTTTCTAGAGGACTATATTTTTTGCACTTTGAAAAGGATATAATATTGATGTCGAAATCGTCGACATCTGTAATTATAATATATTTTAATATTAATATTTTTGTAAATACATGAATCATTATTATCACATTGAATACCTGGTGCAGGCTCTCATTAGCAAATTTCCTTAAGTTTCTTTTATTGTTAGATTTGGAGCCTTTTTATTGTACGTTATTATTAAAAAACATTATATATATATATACATTATTATAAAAAAATGATATTCCATTATTATATAACCATTAAAAATATTTCTATCAAAATTTAAAAAGTATATAGCGCCTTACTAGTTACGACGAAATTCTTTGTCCGTATAGCCATAAAGATATTTCTTGTATCTTTGTTCAATTCTGAATTATAAATAATTTTTTTTGCAATTGTAAGAATTAAATAATAAACAACACAATAGAGATATTAGTATCTCTACTGAGTTGTTTATTATTATTTAATTCTTGCAATTGCAGCATCGCCTTTTCTTATCACTGCAATTCAAATGTCATGCAAATTTCTAATAAAATGTTGAGTTAGTAATATCAAAATCTTAAAAGTAAGTTTTTAAAATTAACATTTTATTTTTAATAATGTATTAATGCGTTTGAAATGCTTGAATATTTAAAACGCTTTAAATGCTTTAAATTCCCGTTAAAGTATATATAAAGTGTTTTTAAAAAAGCGCTTTATGTATTTTTAGACTTAAAACATTTCTAAACAATTAAGAAGTGACTACAAGGTTTGAACATTTTAAATGTTTTAAAAGAAAACATTTAGATTTGCAGCGCGATTGCCAACCAACAGTTCTGTCTATAATGCGCGTAAGTATAAGCGAATAGCAAATCCCCAATATAATGATATGACCTATTCACTGCATAATAATTTTCGAATTTTTTTCGAAAATAGAAGATTAAAAAATAGTGAAACTTAATATCTTTACAATATAAAAGATGTTTTAAAATTAAAAAAAAAACACACAATACTGTTATTCTTTTCTTAACAAAAAATTGAAACAATAATGTTAGAATATTGGATAGAAATTCATCAGTACATTTAACAAAGAAAAAAAAACTTTTAAGAATTTGTCGTAGCTTATTCAGATTGTCTCATTTCAACAAGTGAGCATTCATTTGTCAGATTTATTCTTATTGCGCACATATACACAAGAATATTAGTAATATTCTATCGACGTAATTATTACCTTTGCAGTCGCGTTATTAGTAACTACAATAGAATTGTGCTATTGCGCAGTATTTTAAAACCATAAAAAATGAAGAGTTGCAGTTTCTATGCTGACATATGTGCGTGCATACTGCTGTAATTAATAATTGATAACCGCAGTTATATTAAAATATAATAAGTAAGTGTTCATATAATGGAGTATTAACTAATTCCCTAATTTAATGTAATGTAAATGTTACATTTTAATTTAATATAATTATAGTAGAAATATACTTTAATGTATATAACGTATAAATTTAATATAAGTATGTATAAATATTCATAAGCCGTAGTTTTTACAGAACATAACAGCAATTACAAATTAAAAATGTATACATTTAAAATGTAATGGAATACATCAAACGTTACTAATACATGAAGTTTGCGAAATGTTGATGCTGATGGCCAGGAATTAATGATTGGGTATATCAGAAATTTCCTTTAATAGACGTCGTATATAAATCTGTAACATTCAAAACGTGACAGTTTTATCACTTGTTTATACAAACAAAAAATAACAATAAGACAAAAAAATAAAACGTTTTACGTTAAAATTAATATTTATCTCTAGTAGACGTCGTGTATAAGTTTGTAACATTCAAAACGTGACAGTTTTTTATCACTTGTTTATACGAACAAAAAATAATAATAAAGCAAAAAGATAAAACGTTTTACATAAAAATTAACATTTATATTTGCCTATATGTCATGTTTATCATATGGAAGTGATGGTGTGAACACCATATGATATTCAATTCCTGCTCAGCTGGCTATATGGTTCGCAAGCTCTGATCACTTTCATCTCAAGTTCTTAAAAAATATTGAGCGCTATTAGATAATTTATTCGTCGAAATAAGAAATTATAAATGATTCAAATAGAAGTAGTGAAGAGAATCTTTATGAAAATTTATGTTAAGAAAGTTTAAGTAAATTTAATGTAATAACGAAAAAAGAACAGTAATGTAGGAGTAATGTAGTACTTACATGGATTACAATTTTTCGTGCAATTACATCTTCCTATATTCTAGTAGGTTACGTTATCGGTGACGTATACCGGGTTATATTCAGCAGTCGCGACACATGAACAATTATTGTTAGTATTATTATTATTATTATTATTATTTATTGTCCTTTGCCTGATGCTACTCGTGCTCGGCGTTCCGTTGTTTGCTTCATCATTATTATCAAATATTATGGAATCGTCGACGACGTTGCCCGATCAGTCTCTTTGTGGGAATGCCAAGGCGATCAATCAAATTAGGGTCAATCTTCATTTTGTCAATCAACTTACACAACTATCGAGTAAAACGATGTGTCAGATGTGCATATGTTTTAACGCAAATTTATACTAAGTGAGACCGTCTACTCACGCTCGACATAGATAGCCTCGTGGAAATTGTTTCTGCAGTTATTGTTGCGATGTTGCAACAAATGAGCAGATATCTCCACCTGTCACTCAGTACAAAAATCAATGTCGCGATTTGTATTCACACAAAAAAATCATATTCCAATCACCCTTGTATGTTTATTTTTCTTAAGTTTGCTAATTTTACATTAAAACATTTATTATCATAAACTGTATTATAATGAAAATTGTAAGTTATCCAGTTTCATCTGTTGTACACTTCCCATCTTCCGATCTTTCGGTTTTACTGTCTGTAAATATAAAATATTATATGATGATCATATATTTTACTGCGTTCGCAATCTGCTATTGTACTCTTGTATTGTAATTATATGTAAGAATTTTTTATTATTTTGAATATTTTATAAGACAAAGATTGTTAAATGTATAAATATATCCGGTAAATATATTTGCTGTTGCAAAATCTGTTAATGCTAAAACGACCGAGGATATTTAGAAGAATGGTTTTCTTTTTATGTTACGTGTGGTATGGGATGTATATACAAAAAAAAGAAAAAACTCTTATCTAATTTTATCTTTTTTTATCATAATTTATGTATTAATATCAATTTTCTTCTTATAAATAATATAACTTCAAAGATTTAAGCAATAGTAATAATAATAATAATAATAATAAAGGCAGTTAAAAAAATTGATAGAACTACGTGACTCATTGAAAAATATTAAAACAACTAACTTGATCATTCTAACGTTAAAATGAACAATTTGTCTTCGATACATTGTCGCTCTGATAGAAAGCTTGTTTTATATTGTTACTACGCATATATTCTTTATATAATAAAATAAATACAATTATTAAATAAAAAAATGTTTTTATGAAGTGTTTCACCTATTTCACATCGTTGCTCGTAATTTTCCTCGTTTGCTACAAATAACGTTGTTCGTATCACAAATGGGATCGAATTCCAATGTCGTCTATGACAATTAAGAATGCTATTATAAGTTCAACTTTAAATTTATTTTTAAATACTTTTTATAAAAATAAATAAAAAATCTGTTCAACAAATAAACAACCCGTAATATGGTGACGAGTTACTTTTCAAAAGTAACTCTCCCAATCTTAGCGTTTAGTTAATTATTTTTAGTGTCATAAAAAAATTGCAGCGTCATTATCAAATCATATTATCATAAAAAATAACGACAAAAGTAACGATCTTACTTACTTCCCATGCTAGACATATATACAAATATACGAATATAATAAAAAATATACAATACAATGGAGATATTATAATTTAATTAATGCATAAACAATTCGCATTGCGCATGAAATATTTGAAATAATATTTTGTATTTTCTTATTCAACAAGTAAAATAACATTTTGTTAAAGTTTGCCTGATCAAAGACCGCTAATTATCGATAATTATATATTTTATATGTTTCTAAGGTAATCTATTAACAGAAATTCGACGACCTACTGTTGGCAGTATTGAGTTGCGCTTCTTTTTATGGATCTAATTGCAAATTGTGATGCTTATCTCTGTATTGCATGTAAGTGTATGATAAATAAAAAAAAGTGCTCAATATACTTTTTGCATTATACTTGCAATATACTTTTGCACTAATTTT